GTAAAGCGGGGGCCCGAGGCGCGGGAGCGGGCGGGGGGCCGGAGCCGGGCGCGGCGGGGCGGGCGCGCGCGGCTCGCCCGCCGGAGCCAACTTGCCCTAGGCTCGGGCCCACGCCCTAAGGGGTTAATCCTCTCTCGTGTTCCCGAGCGGCTTATAAGGAGGGGGCGGCCTGGCCTCCGCCTTATTGGGAGCCTTTTGGGGTTTATTCTCTTCCCTTCTAACTTGGTGAGTTGGTTTTATCATTTTACATGTTTAAAAGTTTGATGGTGGGGTGTGGGTGGGTTTTTTCTTAAGCTATGTTGGGAGCTCTGGGGGCCTGGTGGTGGGGGAGGCTGGAGGGAGGAAGAGGAAACCACTTAACTGCTTAACATTTTGGAGAGGTTATTCCCCCAAATCTTCTCTGACAGTTGGGAATGCCCGGGGCCCCCGGGATGGCGCGCTCTCACCATTGCGGGCAGCCGAGAGTTGCCTGTCGGTGGCCCGGGTACAGTCGGTGTCCGGAAAACACCTAAAGGCAGGTTTGGCCTTTGGGTGCCCCCCGGCCCAGGCGAGGGCCCCCAGGCTGTCGGGCGAGGGGGGCGCCGCGCTGAGCTCCCTGCACGGATTTTCCGCATGAAGTTGCCTGCGCGTCACAGGAGCGAAATGTCAGAGGTACCGTCCCCAGGCTCGCTCGCGCGCGCGCAGGGCGGCCCCGCAGACAGCGCCAGGGAAAGCGGGGTTCCCGGCCTCCCCCCGCCTGACACACGCACCCGGGGCGGCCGACGGGGAGGCAGGCATGTCCCCGCCGAGAGCAGCTCGTCCACCTTGACCGTCAGGGCTGTCAGCGGCTGACGGCTGGTCCCGCTCAACTTCCAAGGTTCCCAGGGCTGCCAACCACGGGAAAGCGCCCGGGTAGCTGAGCGGCGCTGTAGCCAGGGAGGATGGTTTTGCAGAGGAAATGGGTTATTTCCTTCTGCTTCTTTTTTTTTTTTTTTCTTTTTTAAACCAGACCGCCACACTCTCCCACAGACAGATGATAGAAGTTTGTTAGGTGGCATGTAACATGTCACCAAACACGGGGGGCGTCAGTCTTAGAGAAAAGCTCCCCGGAGCCAACCGGGGAAGAGCAAGCAATGACACCTTGTCATCCTGGAAGCTGGTTTTGTTTGCAGTTATAGACACACCGTGTCAGCTCTTTCTCAAAGGAGACTGTTTCTACCCTGGGAATGGGATTTCTCGGTAATCTTACTATTTTGCAAATCATACTAAGTGGATTGGGTGGAGGGTCTTGTTTGCAAAAACAGCCCCAAGTGCTATGCAGAGATCTCTAAGTGATGCATCTCCCCATGTCCAAGCACCAGTCCCTGTCATGGGGGGGGGGCGATCAATAATACGTCCTGCCTGCCTGGTGGATACAGAAATACCTCTTCTCATCATTAAGTGTCCAAGATAGTTCCAGTATGTAAATAAACAGTGCAGCCAAGTGGAAAAGCTCCTTCTCTATGAGAACCACCAACCCTGAGTTTTCCTTCTGTGGTTTCCCAAAAAGGACTTTCCTCGGTGGAACTCCTGAGGACGACACTTAAATTAGGGGATAGGTTTCTACATCACGATCTTGTAAAAGGGGGTGAATCGGTGCTCTCCAGGGATTCAGAGCAGCTGAGGCTGCCGTCCAGGTTAGGTTTGGGGGTTTTGTTGTTTTTTTTTTAAAATAGAGAATTGAAGTGAGCTTCACCTAAATACAGACTGGTTTTGACAACTAGGGCTGGAAACAACTTGTCAAAAGCTGTTCTCCAGGCGACGCCTTTAAGAAGAATGGAGATTGGCAGTGGCTCGCTGAGGCTTTGTTCACACCAGCCACACCAGCAGCTGCCACCGCTGCCCATCCAGAGGCTGCATTTTGAACTTTGCTCTGATCTGACCCTGGACTGGCACCCTGACGGTCTATCATAGTCCGATATTTTGCATTCTTCATGCCTCCAGGGGACAGCTTTTCTCAAGAAATCAAATCGCAGTTGAGAGTCCCAGCTATAGCAGATTTCCAAGCCTTGGCAGAATTCTCGTTTATTTAAGATTAGACAACCAAATGCTCATAGGAAATTACTCCAAACCACCCAGTGCATTTTGTCCGTTCTGCTTCCTTTGGGAGAACATTTGGAGGAAGGCGACATGGCTGCCAGGAACCCCTGTTCAGAATCGTAGCATTTTACCCTCCAGACCTCTGTGTCTCACCCCTGCTTTTAGAGGATGAAACTTAGGAACAAAGTCATTTCCCCATGAGCATGAGGCCAGTTAATGGTAAACAGAAATTCAACAAATAACGCACAAGGGCCTCACAGAGACAGACCTGTGGACCTTGCGTCAAAGGACTCAAAAATGAATTGAGAAAGATGAAAGGGTAACTTGGAGCAAGTGGGGGTCAAAGGCTATCAGAGAAACGTAGATTTTTAGGGCAGGAAGAGATCTGAGATCACCTCCGTCTAGTTCAACTCCCTTGTTCACCTCTTGACAGTGAAAATCAAGCAGCAAGGTGATTCTCCCAAGGCCGTGGGGTTGCTCCTCGCTCGGCTCTATCCCCCCCACAGTAAACGAATATCCCATCCCATCCCGTCAGGGAAATTCACATGCCCGTAAAACCAAAACATTATTTCCATGTTCTGGAATTCTTAGAGCCTTTGAAGCCACAGGCCTTTCTCTCTTTCGTTTGTAGAGGCCAACCCGTTTGTTAAGCCAGTCGTCCTTCTGAGGGGATGGTAGGAAGGAAAGAGTCCAGGGGAAGGACTGATTATGCAAGCAGGGACTTCCTCACTTGATGACTGGGCTTCAGGAGGCTAGAGCCGTGCATTGCTTCAGGAGTGCCCCAAGACGCATGCTTTGTTTAGTGAACTTTTATTGAGCACGTACTGTGTGCCTGGCACATGGCCAGGCACTGGGTCTGGAAAGAGCTGCCGACTGCCCTGTGTGCAAGGCGTCCTCAACCGTATGTTACAGAAACCAGGTTATTCTATTATCATTCTGTACTGTGATCTTCAAAGCTCAATATACCAGGGCATAGGCTGCTTTAGGATGATGAAGGCGTAAACTTGGGAGTATCAGTGGGTTCTGGGGTGTCATCTTTCTTTTATGATGATCCCAGGAAAACAATAAAAAAGCTGTCCTCCCCAAACCTAAGAATGCAGGTGAGAGTTATATTTGGATCTAGCTTCAGGGGAGTAGCCCAGATGTAAAGTTTAAAGAAACAAAGGAGTTGAACACCCAGAAGGAGCTCAGAGAGTGAACGGAAGGAAAGCAGTCAGACAGCTGCCACCTTCGAGCCGGCTGTCCTAGATCAGCTCCAGCCAGCGTCCGGCTCCGTTACACCCGCGTCTGTAAGAACCGTCTGGCACCTGCACTTTCCTCCCAGCTCCCAGGTCTCCTTGGGCCACTAGGTTTCACCTGAGCAATCAGGTGGTTGAGAACTCAGTGCTGAATAACAGAAGTGTCAGCTGCCAAAGCTGGGGGAGCTTTAAGGGTTCCCAAAGCCAGCCTCTTCATTTGACGAGTGAGGCACTCTGGCCCAGAGAGGTGCAGTGACTTTCTCCAGGTCACACAGTGACGCGGTGAAAGAGTCCTCACAACCTCTATAGGAAACGCCCCCTCCCTGGCCTTCAGAATGCTGTTCTGCATCCTGATACAGCGGGGCCCCGGGGAGACAGGAGATCAGATGCTGGACCATTTCGGTCCAGTCCCTTCCCCTCTCTGGGGGTCGGCTTCCCCATTTTGCAAAATGAGTGGGATTTTACAAAGAGGAGATGGACCCAGATGGGCTCCAAATCCCATTTTGGTTGTAACATTCTGTAATTCTAACTCCACCCACCCCGGGGCCTCCAGCCCCACCCATCTTGCACATTTAAACCACCGACGGCAACAGGCAAAGAAAGAGAGAGATGGGCACCCATCACCAGAACTGAAGCGCTGGCCTCGCCCAGAGCCTTCCCATAGTAGGTAACCTCGTCTTCCTACAAAAACTGCAGTCTAGTCTTGACCCTCTGAAATGCAACCCAACCAAAAGGTTCTGCGCCTTGGTCCTGCAGTGCTTTTAGGCTAGAGAGGGCTTCTGTCTGTCTCTCTGGGGCCTTTATCAATTTTACCCAATGTGTTTTTATTCAAGTTGGCCCCGAGCCCTCTCTTAAAATGCTAAGGTCTTATGGGCACCCTTCGTGCCGACCTGGCCTTGGACTTAGTCGCCACTGCTTGTCAGAAATGTTCTGAGCTCCGGGAGGACATGGCTGAATGGTTTTAAAATGTGATGGGATTTCAGTCTTAAGGTTCCTTATCATTATCATCAACAAACAATTTCATCCAGGGAGGCAGAGGCCATCTCTGTATTGTCACTGTCGCCCCTAGCATAGGCCCTGGCACCCAGCAGTTACTTTGTTGGAAAGAATTAATTAAAGCTGTGTGCAAGGTACCTGGGGGGGTGGGGTGGGGAAGGGATGCAAAGAGAAATAGGCCCAGATTTGTTTTCCGTGAGCTTACAGTTTAACTGAGCAAATAAGATAAATGCGTACAAGTAGACAGCAGCCCATTATTAAAGGGTGCCTGTCCCGTGAAGAGAGCTCCTTAGGTCGAGTGGATCAGAGGAAGCCTTATGCAGCAGGAGGATGTGATGAAGCGGGCCCTTGCGGCGCCAGCGGTGGGGGGCCTCCAGCCTGGGGAAGGGGCGCGCCACAGGCAAGGTGGCTGGCGAGTCAAGCAACAGAACAGGAAGAACTAAGGCTGCTGAGATCCGTGGGGGGCAGGGGCTTCCAATTAGGAAGGACTTTGAAAGTCAAGCTGATCTCGTGGATTTTGTCCTTCAGAAAGAGGAAAGCCACTGAAAAAGTCCGAGCAGAAAAATGTCATGACGATGAGGCATTTCAGAAAGATTAATCGTACCAGACAGTTGAGAGACCAGTAAAGGAGTCTTGGGCTTCCAAGGCGAAGCTCAAAGGAGTGGCCCAGTAGGGGGGGCGAGATGGGAGGGGGACCTGAGCTGTGGACTCCCCCCCGCACTGCCCCTCCTTCCCTCCTACCCCGCTCCCTAGGGCTGAACACGGTTCCAAAGCCAACACTGGCATGTACTTTTTTTTTTTCCTTCTCAATCTTAAGCCCACTACCGTTGTCAGCTCCTCTGCCCCAGGTGCCTCATCTTGGGAGCAGACTTTGAAAGTCTTAATGGAGGAGGGGACTTGGGAAAACCTCAGCTGCTGGAGGGCTCGGGGTTCCCATGTTAAATCAGCTGCTTTCCGTGTTGGGAACATGAATGACAAACTGGTCTGTAATTGTTACCCTACACCCAGAGCCACTTAAGTGCTCTTCCCACCTTTGCCCTCAGCTCTCAGGCATGCCACACTGACACACACCAAAATGCAGAGGCCTTTGCTGCAGGGAGCACAGCGTCTTAAAGCATCTTATGCCCTATTTATGCAACCAAATAGCCAACAGTAAGAGAGTAATAAGTGAGTATATAGTCCTTTCAGAGTACTAGGCTACCATGCTATCAATAGGCTGAACAATATGAAATTAGGTCAGATTTGCTGCTTTGTAAGGTGCTCAGAGCAAATTCCGAATACTGGATTCCCGTAGCAGAAACTGGGAAGTCTACTGTCTAGATGAGGTTTTGTCCTGTTATTTCTCAATTGCTCTCCATTTTCAATAAAACCTGCCTTCGTATGTGAACGTGACAACTCGCGGCTAGGCCATCCACGCATCCTGAAAATTCACCTGGCTACAACTGCATAGTTATAGAGAATTCTTAAACTCAAGGTGCGTTGCCATTAAGAGCGCAGAGACCACAGACTCATTTGTTATTTATAGGTATTAATTTTTAGTTGGGTTAAAAACACACATGACTGTTTCAAAGCGTATGTAATTGCAGAGGTTTTGAAAATGTCTGCGTTTTATGTGCTCGAGCCTGCCGCGGAAGACTTAAACGACCCTGCCTCCAGTGTTAAATATAGTTTCCCCTTAGTGGTGATACGGCACAGGGATCTGATGTTCTGATGTTGGTTGCAACGTGAATGGAAAAGCATAGCAAGGTCAGGAGTAACTTGGTTTAAGTTCCCTGGCTGTCCAGACCCCACAAATTGGTAGTGCCTTATTTGGTCACTATATCCTAGAGTACTGGTCCTGTGTGGAAAAATTCCATTTCTCATACACCACGTGGCGACCGACTTTGAGGAACTCATTCATGCTAAACCAACACCAGGAAGACAGAATCCCCAAATTTTAATTTGCAGTCACATTCCGTTCACATAGGTACAGCCATATGGGACCCCAGACCATAATCAGAATGTTGCTGAGTAGGGGGTAGGATGGTCTGAAGGACCAGGGGCACCAAGCAGAGATGCAGGATTTCTCCAGCACTTAGCTGCCCCTGCAAGGTGGCCTCTGAGCCTCTCTTTGCCGAGGCTTCATTTCTGATCCACATTCCTTACAGTCAATTCGGCCTTCCTTTACCTAACTTGTCTTCAGGTTCAGGGTCTGCACTGATCCTTGGTCTGGTGGCCATTCTTTGTCCTCCAAAGTGCCTCTAAATATTCTGCCCAGGCTCTTTGTGGTTTTTTTGGTTAGTTTTTCCATTTAACTGCCACAGCTTGGAAGTCTGCCTTCCCAAAATCTTTCGCGGCTCCATATACAATACAAACATAGTTGGTTCATTAGATAGATAAGACGGATAGATGACAGGTGACAGAGACAGATAACGACAGATATAAATGTGATAAGATGACAGATAAAAGATGACACAGATGTATAGATAGATAGATACTATTATTCAAAGACTTCACACTAACTGCACATGATTTAAATATTCATCAACCTAAGAAATGTAGTGAGTAGTTCTCATCTGTCGAGCGTTAGAATCATCCACCCTCATGCCATTGCTGGTCTAATTTTTTTTTTTTTAACTTTTTCTTTTAGATTAAGAATGACCCAAAAGAAATCACAGCTTTGTTCCAGAGCCAATGTTTATACTCAAGTGCCTGATGGAGGATGGGGCTGGGTGGTAGCTGTTTCTTTTTTCTTCGTTGAAGTCTTCACCTATGGCATCATCAAGTCATTTGGTGTCTTCTTCAATGACTTAATGGACAGTTTTGATGAATCCAATAGCAGGATCTCATGGATAATATCCATTTGTGTGTTTGTCTTAACATTTACAGGTTAGTACATCTTCCAGCTTAAGCGCTATATAAGCATATGCCTCTTTCAGTCTGCCTAATTATGTAAGAGGCGCTGAAGGAAAAAGTCTACTTGCCAGACTTGACTGCCTTCATTTAATGCACACGTATTAAACGCCTACTGTATGCACTCTCTTAGGATACTGCAGATTATTTTGAGGACAATAGCAAACCCCGGTTCAATGGGAATGTGGTCATTTCCTAAAGAAGCATTAAAAGTTCTTGGCATCCTGGGTCCTGGTCTCGTAAAAACATGCTGAGGAAACAGGTTGGGAACATGAAAATGCGACTACATGAAGGGGAAAGATGGAAGGTGTAAAAGGGTGTATGGGAAAACTACCCATATTGCCCAGAGAGGATATTCTGAATTCCAAACACCTGTTTCCCTAAAGGACTTCACTGGCTAATCGGTCTGCCCAGCTCCCAGATCCAACAGCATCAGATGAATGGGACTGTAGTATAATTCTTAACATACTGATTTTCACTTGGTCCCATTCAGACCTAATTCAGCACATCTCTGAGGTCTCATGACTCTTCATCCATCTGTCAGGGGCCGCGCCAGGGTCGTCTGAGAAAGCAAGGCCGTTGAACTTACCGCGGACAGTTAATGGGGCTGAACTTCAGCTTCCCTAACTTTACCCTAATATCCTGTCACGGAACCATTGCCTCTGAAGTTTTCTAAGCCTGTCGTTAAAGGCACTTAGTTTTCAGCCCTATACTGTCTCACAAAGGTAGCTCCACTGTTCTTCGCTACCGAGTAAAGTCAGAATCTCTCCCGTTAGCCCTGATACCCTCTCCTACACGGTTCACGGAAGTACTTCTAGTTCCGGTCTGAGTATTAAGATACTTAATTTCTTAATTGGCAGGATGTTTACTTTCTTGGAAAGATAACTTACATGAATTAGAACCAAAATTTTACATTTGGTAACCAAAATAAAACGAAAATCCCAAAGCTGAACTTTTAGCCGTTTTCTAACCAAAGATAATATAGTCAACAAGAAATTTCCAGCTAATACTATTATACCAGAAGATAATTGTTCTTCATGCTGTTATTCCAGTCATTAATGCCTTGAGTCTACACACTGCCTAAAAATGATCCTAGTGATTTCATTATTTGCTATATTAATATATTAGTTTACATTCAACTCACATAAGAGATAGGTATGCACCAACCCCAACAAAACTTACTCCTTTTTTAGCTCTTTCTATCCAGCATGTACGATGTTGTTCTTCCTCCCCCCAACTCTGGAGGGTTCCCTTATCTCATTGTACTCAAGGCGGTATCAGTGGGAGCCTAAGTAGCATCTGACTAGGAAGCTCATCTTCCAGATTTAAATGTCCCGGAGGATACAGAGCACAGAAGCTACGCCAACTGTAATTCATCAGCCACTCTGAACTGTCTATCCCATAGCTAGCCTCCTTTTGGTATGCGTAACAGAATTCACCACACTTTCATATCATTTGCAAAAAAGTCAAATGGAACTGAGCTGGAATTTGACCCTAACCGGAGCCTTTTAAAAAAGAATCCAAAGCAGTGAGTATAGGAAAAAAAAAAAAAAAAAAGTGCCTCGTCCAATCACAGGAAAAGCCCATTTTTATTACAGAATAACAAATTTAATGCATATCCAATCTTATAGGGGCTCCTGGTGAGTCAAAATCTTTCATCGGAGACAAAAGATATGTTTTATACTATGACTCTTGATTTCTCTTCAAGGAGCCCCCAAAGTATATTGTCCAGCTTGTGCAAATAGTAAAATAAGTCCTGAACTGACTTAAGGAACCATTGCACAAAATGCATACTGTATCTTACATCATCACCTCCATGTTAAAGGCTTCAAAGATGGAATCTTACCACAGACTCACAGAGAACACAGAGATACAGAGAACAGATGTGCGGTTCCCGAGGGGGAGGGGGAGGGAGAGGGATGGGGTGGGTGGATGGGGTGAGCAGGTGCCAGTGAGTGTATATGGGATGGAGAAACACCAAGGCCCCACTGTGTAGCACAGGGAACTGCATTCTACATCCTGGGATAAACCATCCGGGAAAATAATAGTTTTAAAACACGAGTGTATATACATGTACGTATCACTGAACCACTCGGCCGTACACCTGAAACTAACACAACGTGGTAAACCAACTACACTTCACTAAACGTTAGAAAACGTAAAATTAAACAAGACGGAATCTTAGGGTATATGCAGAGCTGATTCACTCTGTTATACAGCAGAAACTAACGCGCCACTGTAAAGCAGTTAAACTCCCATAAAGATGCTAAACACATTTTTAAAAGAAGGAGTCCTAGGGAGGCTAAGGCTTTTTCGCCTCTGGGAGCTGAGACCCTGTTTTGCTCTTGCTGCAGCTCCTGTGTCCACCGTCCTGAGCATTGGGTTTGGACACCGTCTGGTGGTGATGGTCGGGGGGCTGCTGGTCAGCGTGGGCATGGTGATCGCCTCCTTCTCACAGAAGGTCTACCACATGTACATTGCCATCGGCATCATCTCTGGTAAGTGCTTCTCCTGGGCTCGCTCATTCTCCAGAGACTTAGCTTCTAGAACAATGCGGGGGCCGGGGGGGGGGGGTAGGGAATCAAATCCAAAGTGTGTTTCTTTCTCCCTTTCTCTCTTTTCTTTAAAATTAATAATGTCCCAGATCAGTGGTTTTGAACTGGTCTGTATGGGCTCCAGGGTGTTCCCCTGGGAACCTCTCCTCAATCAATGCCCAAGACTTTTTGTCTGAGAAAGAGACAAGAGAACTTGAGAAAGAGAACTTCTCTTTTGTGATAGTTTGCAGCCCAAAGACATCATTTTCACAAAGCAAGGTTTGCGTTTCTTTAGCTGAGATTTCCCAAGTCAGGCTGTGAGGACCCTGAGCTGTAGGGGAGGGTCTGTGCCGGACTTATTCTTCGGGGTCTGAGAAAAATTTTTCCCTTTCAAAACACTTTAAATCTTTTCATATGTTTCTACACATACCAAAACTCATTTATTTCCAAATAGAAGTCTTAAATAAAAACTATATTCGATAAGAGTTCTGTCCACTGTGGATTATATATAAATTGGGGGGAAAAACATTGCAGAAAAGTACGGAAAAAAACCAGAGAACAGGTTTGTTTTTTTAACTCCTAGCTTTCCAAAACAGCTCTTGCAGTTTCTCCAGACCTCTGACGAAACCTGTTTTGTTTTTTTTTTTGGCTACAGCACTATTTTCCAGAATGAATTTCTGGGCTCCCAGAACTTATCATTTTAAATATGAACACAAAAACCCCAGATCTTTGAATGCATTCTTCTGGCATCAATGAGGATGTGGTCCTTTCTATCGTTTTTGACTTTCCATCACAGGTCTGGGATACTGCTTTAGCTTTCTCCCAACTGTCACCATTCTGTCACAGTACTTTGACAGAAGACGCTCTGTGGTCACGGCTGTTGCTTCTACAGGAGAATGTTTCGCTATGTTTGCTTTTGCACCAGGTAAGTGGACGACTACAGTCTACGTGTTCACGTGAACTAGCTCTTCTTGCTACACTGACTCTTGCCAACCGTCAGTTAATAGACTGACAGCTTCGACTGCGTGCAGAAGGAAAGGTTAATTGTCTTCTCTTCTCCAGCACAGTTTCAGGATCTGTCTTCCCTAACCCCGATTTTAGGAATTCAAACATTTTCATACTGGTCCAAGTTTACATAAATAGGAATATACAATGGCACATATTCAGTGGTAAGGCTTGAAACAGCCATTCCAAAATAGATGATTTAATGATTTCAGATTGTTCCTATTATTCTATTTCTCTCCTTGGTCAAAAGAGCCATATTCAATGCGGATTTAAACTGTGCTAGTAAAGTCCCTTTCGTGAATGGTGTGTGGATAATCTCACAGGGAGTTTTTTTTTTTTTTTTTTTTTGCGGTATGCAGGCCTCTCACTGTTGTGGCCTCTCCCGTTGCGGAGCACAGGCTCAGTGGCCATGGCTCACGGGCCCAGCCGCCCCGTGGCACGTGGGATCTTCTTGGACCGGGGCACGAACCCGCGTCCCCTGCATTGGCAGGTGGACCCCCAACCACTGCGCCACCAGGGAAGCCCTCACAGGGAGATTTTTATCCCTGGTTTATTTCCCTATCTTAACGAGAACCTGTGAATGTCACTAGCCAGTGGCAGACGAATCACCCTAGAGACTTAGATTAACCTCTTACTCTGCCATTTCTTGGTGAATGTGTCCGTGGATCGCGGCGGATTTGTCCAAAGGAGATACACGTAGTAGTATTTAGGGGTGACGTGTCATGTCTGAAGCTTTTCAGATAGTTCAGAAAAATTAATGTATGCTTGCCTATAAATAGGCAGACAGAGAAGAATGTTAACTGTTGAAATTCGCTGAAGTGCGGGCAGGCAGATAGGTATCATTCTTCGCACTTTTCTGTCCGTTTGAAATTTTTCAGAACAAAACACTGAGGGGAGAATCAGTGGCCTGTGAACGCCCTGAAGGTAGAAACTGCATCTTGGTTGGCTTTGTTCCCTAGCACATCCCTGGCACCTGGTAGGCAGGCACTCAAGGAATGTGAGTTGGAGCAAAGAAGAGCAGACCGATCATTGCCAGAGGAGGGTAAAGCACTTTGAAATACCCAAGCCTGAAAGATTTTGCAATTCTGAGTTTCCCATATTAACAGGGGGAGAAGAGGTGTGAGCAAAGCATGCTACGACAGTAAATGGAGACCCCGTGCCCCGGAATTCGGGGCTGTCTTGCTAAGCTGATCTTCTTTCTCAGGAACCAACTTACCATGTCTCTTATACCTGACTGTCAGCTCTCAGAGAATGAGAATCTAGTGAAATGAAATTCTAATGAACATCATTTCACCTTTGTGGGATGATGATGAAAATTCCTGAAGGTCTCGTGGGGCCCGCATTATCCTCTTCTCACTATGGGTCCTGAAGCCCCCTTTGGCCTGACACCGCCCAACCCCCAGAGGACCCCAGCCAGGGCCCAGTCCCCGCTCCAGGCTGCCTCTGGGCCGGCAGGAAGGTAGAACGTTCCACAAAGCAAGCGGAGAACTGCAGCAATACTGCACAGGACCGTACTGTATCCACACAGTAAGTGTCTTAATTCCAGGATAAGCCTCTGAGCTTTTAGAGTCTTCGTTTATCCTCTCCTTCATCTGTTACTACTGAGGGTTGAAGGAGTGGATGGAGAACCATCTAGCTCAGAGGGTGGAAATTCTGTCTTGAAGAGGCCAGAGGGGAAATATTTCAGGCGTCACGGGCAAGTCCTTGTGGGATCCACTCCTCTCTGTGGTGACAGCACAGAAGCAGCTGTAGACGACATTAAAGAATGATCTCGGCTGTGTTCTAGTCAAGGTTTATCATCCAGTAACAGGCTGGATTTGGCCCGCAGACGGCTGTCTGCCGAACCTTGATGTGGGTCACGGACTTGGTTCATCTCGAGTCTCTGCCTGGCGGAAGGCACCCACCAGAGCTCTCAGAGGCCTGGGCTGAAAATGTGTATCTCTGCTCATCCTTACGCACCTTCCTCCTTCTCGAGTCCTAAAAGCCCCCAAAGCCTAGAAGAAAGGGTAGTGCGTGTCGACTGCATTCCCACGGCCAAGTAACTTTTGTTTACCCGTTTCCCGGTCTGCGTTTCTTCTCGCTTCCCCCCACCCCCGCCCCCGGTCTTGAGTTCGTTTCTGACTTTGGCTTTTCTTTCTCCTTTGCTCCTGCCCACCCAAGCCATCACGGCCCTGAAGGAGACCATCGGCTGGAGGTACAGCCTCCTCTTCGTGGGTCTCCTGCAGCTCAACCTCGTGGTCTGCGGGGCGCTGCTCAGACCTATCATCATCAAAGGACCCGGGACCCCCAAAACCACCGCCCACGAAAATCGGAAAGAAGTGCAATACATGCTTGAGAATGAGAAAACCCGCACCTCGATAGATTCCATTGACTCAGGAGTAGAACTAACTACCTCACCTAAAAACGTGCCTGGTCACACGACCGTAGAGCTCGAGCCCAAGGCCGACCTGCAGCAGATCCTGGGCCAGCCCGGCTCCAAGCCCGGCTGCCAGAAGGCCCCGCTGCTGGACTTCTCCGTTTTGAAAGAGAAGAGTTTTATCTGCTACGCGTTTTTTGGTCTCTTCGTCACCCTGGGGTTCTTCGCCCCGTCCTTGTACATCATTCCCTTGGGCCTCAGTCTGGGCCTGGACCGGGACCGCGCTGCTTTCTTGTTATCAGCGATGGCGATCGCAGAAGTGTTCGGGAGGATCGGGGCTGGGCTGGTCCTGAACAGAGAGCCCATCCGCAAGATCTACATCGAGCTCATCTGTGTCGTCTTACTGACCGTGTCCCTGTTTGCCTTTACTTTTGCCACTGAATTCTGGGGTCTCATGTCCTGTAGTGTATTTTCCGGGATTATGGTTGGGACGGTGGCGGGGACCCACATCCCGCTGCTCGCTGAGGACGACGTCGTGGGAATCGAGAAGATGTCTTCCGCGGCTGGCGTCTACGTCTTCTTCCAGAGCATCGCGGGACTGGCTGGACCGCCACTTGCAGGTAAGTTAAATACACTAAGTAAAACCCTCGTCTGCTGCCCTTTTACAATATGTTACTTTTCCACGACGGTCTATCCCAGTCCCCTGTGCTCTACAGTAGCAGCTCGTTGTTACTCACCCTGTATCTAACAGTTTGCACCTGCTAACCCCAAACTCCCACTCCACCCCTCCCTCATCCCCCTCCCCCTTGGCAACCACAAGTCTGTGAGTCTGTTTCGTAGATGAGTTCATCCGTGTCACAGTTTAGATTCCACCTGTAGCATACTGTCCTTTTACTAATAGTGCCAGCTTCCTATTCAAGTCGAATGGAAAATAAAACTATTGATTTTTATACTTGCAGAGAATTTTAGAGGTGTCGGGATAGAGGTTACCCGAGCCACCTCTCTTGACTTAAATATGAGGAAAGTGAAAGCCAGAGAATGTCAGCGTACCGCCCAATGGTAAATCAGTGACCAAGTCAGGATTAGAACCTGGGTCTGCAGCCCAAGCTGCCGGGCTTTTTCTACCTTTTTCTACCTTGAAAAATGCTCGCAGCGGGGGCGGGGAATGCTTGGATTTCTGACCTCATTACCCTCTGACTTTTGGGATAACAGAACTAAGGGTCTTCTGTAAGCCAGCTTCCCTTCTAGGGAGGGGTTTTAGGGAACTGAACCTAGAACAGCACTCTGCAGAGCGCTTCACTAATCACTACAGAATATTTCCCTGTAGGAAGGACATGGCTTTGTTTTACATGTTAGCCCTGAAATAAGTCCTTGAGGTTATTGTGATTAGAAATCTTACCCCATGTGAAAAGATACCTGAAGTGAACTCGAGTGAAAATAAAAGAGCTCTTTCCTCTTAGGAGAGGATGTCAGCTTTCCAAAGGAGTGGGCATCTCACCGTTCCCAAGTTTTAGATCAGCCCACAAAGAACATCTGAGTGACAGAATTTTCTCAGGTGCTAAGTAGGTTGTACGTTTGTCTACATCTTCTCTCCCGTCTAGAAAAGACTCCTACCTTCCACATGCTTTTTTCTTAAAAACAAAACCAAAAAAAAACAGACAAAACAAGGAAGGCAAAGAGCCTGAGAAGTGGCTGAGTTTGGGGGAGCCTGGCGGGGGGGTCTTTGTGGCTAATGTGCTGACGCTCCCGCAGGGCTTCTGGTGGACCAGAGCAAGATCTACAGCAGAGCCTTCTACTCCTGCGCGGCTGGGATGCTTGTGGCCGCTGTGTGCCTCGCCCTCGTGAGACCCTGTAAAAGGGGGCTGTGCCGCCGTCCCCGAGCCGGGGAAGGGAAGGCCGAGAGTCACCGTGGGAAAGCTTTACAAGACATCCCAGAAGACTTTCTTGAAATGGACCTGGGGAAGACTGAGCACAGAGCTCCTATGAAAACGGAGCCCGTGTGATACGCCTGTCATTCACACCAGCCTCCCTGGGGGCTGGAGAGGGTGGGGGACAGGGGACCCAGGGCAGCAGAGATGTGGACCACCCACCCGCTTTCCAGACTACACTCTAAAGGGAATGTATGCGTGAACACCACTACCAACATCCTTCTTTTTTTTCTTGTAAGTTTTCCTTTTCGCTTGTTTTTTAAGCCAAAACAAAAACCACCGAACACCCTTTCTGTACATCAACCTGGCTGTATTCAGTAGCAATACGAAGATGCACAGGACTCTCGGGGTCGCATTCCGGTTTTAAGAGTGACATGAATTGGCAAAGTGGTTTTAAGAGCTCTCACATGTGATAAACTACTATCTTGGAAAAGGACATCTGGCCGAGGCCACTGCAATGAAATTGGCCATTACAAAAAAAAAAAAAAAAGCTTACATCATTTAAAACATTTCTAATTTTCAGAAATATGAACAAATTGTTTAAAACCCTTTGAAAAATACTGAGGTTTCCATTAACAAATTAGGGCCTCTGAATTTTCCACATAGTTCATGGAAATGAAGTACAGTTTGAGACCAAACATTTGGCTAGTAAACGGAAATTTTAAAAATATATGTAACTTGAACTTCATAAATGTGAAGATGACCACTTTTTTATGGCCAGTCACTACCAGAAGCATTTCGATACAGAACACACAGCACAGCATTCAAAAATGTGTTTCCTATTGCTTTTAATTATTCAGAAATATGTGATTGTAGTGTCTTTAATTTAAACCGCTATTTATTATTAAGTTATTCTAGAATGAATAAAGTAATCAAAAGAAAGAAAATCTGAGACATAAGCAGAATTTCTACCCCCTTTCTGCAATCCTTTACATGCCTCAAAGAATACTTCTTAACTTGTAAAGTGACTCTCGTAAAAGGCCAAGTTTAAGGATTCTTCAGTTTGATTAACGACAACGTGCGTCATTTCAAGGGGGGGGGATGATGATGAGTAGCAAATCGCCTTAGCTTTTTTAAATGATTTGTTTTATCACCTAAGAATACTTGAGGATCTTCTTTGATCAGAATTATATTTCATTGAATTGTTGAAGCATTTCTGATTTTTTTTTTTAATCTCACCGTTGAAGCATTTCTGTATTTCACGTGGGATAGCAGAGACATTTATTTTACCATCATGAGTTATATCATATAAACCCTGATTGCTCTACGTTACCAGAGTTATCGGGTTAACTGGTCACTGGGTTTTTTTTGGAGTTACATTACATGTATAGTATTTCTCATGTGCACATTTTTCTGTAAAAGGGCAAGTATGAGGGTAACAGGTTGGCTGCGTACTCATAATGTCCTGAATCTCACTCTACAGGTGATGGTCAGTACCGCTGCTCCATCTTTATTCATTTACTGTTAATTTATGACAACTCAGGGGGAAAAAAAATATAACAAGCCTAGTTTGGTTACAGGTACACACAAGCTTGAATATTTCTCTGCACTGAAATGAAAGTGGCATAGTTCATCACCACCTGCTACGTTTCTGTACAGTGTTTGATCAGCCATAGAAATAGGACAATCTGTAAAACTTTGGGGAGGGGCTGGGGAGGAAATGACAACGTGTCTGTCAAAAACAGACACACCTAGAACAAGCTGGATGTAGCAAATCTCTGTCACTACCAGAGAAGGACTTGGAGCTTGTGGCACTTTTGCAGACTTCATGACTTCAGCACTTTACAGCCTTTTTTACTATGAATGTTCAATACAACTTAATATTTATATCTGGTTTCAGAGCGATCTGCTTAAGACGTCCATTCTGTTAATTGCATGGAAAATAAAATGTATGCCAGTTTCAGTATGTCAGTAATCAAGGTTTTAAATATTTGGCAGAAAATGAAAACAGGATTGCTGATTTGTTCTGTATTCTGTGACATTCTGGTACTTCTAGATTTGCAATAAATGTATGGCTTTTTTATTTAAAGAAAGTGATTCGGTTTTTTATTGACTCCTTGGCGTTCATTGTTGGATCCAGTTAAAATTATAAAAACTCAAGGAAGATTCATGTCAAATAACAAATAAAAAAAGCTTTTGTGCAAAATCTTTTAACTGCACTAGAGACACATAAATGTTTCCAAGACGTGTTAGTTGAACATCATTATTTCATAAATGAAAAATAAATGAATGGGGACTTCCCTGGTGGTCCAATGGTTAAGACTCCACACTCCCAATGCAGTGGGGCACGGGTTCGATCTCTGTTTGGGGAACTAAGATCCCACATGCCACACAGCATGGCAAAAAATTAAAAAATAAATAAATGAATGAAATGATATCCTGGTGGCCACAGAGAGATAGCTCAGCCTATCAAAAGTAATAAGTGAAAATAGTTAAGACTAACCATACGTAGTTACAGAACAGGCCTAAGAACTGCTCTAACCTGTAAGTAAACAGCACGGACTTTCCATGCCAGCGGTCTGCAAAATCTTTTTCTGTAAAGGTCCAGATAGTAACTATTTAAGCCTTTGCAGGCCACACAGGCTTGGTCACAACTATTCAGCTCTGCCTCTGTAGGGTGCAAACAGCCATAGACAAAATGTAAATGAATGAGCATGGCCATCTCAATAAAAGTTTATTTTTGGATACTGAAATTTGAATTCCATAAAATTTTCACACACTATGAAATACTGTTGATTTTTTTCAGCCACACAAAAACGTAAAAATCATTATTAGTTTGCAGGCAGTCAAGAAAAGTCGGCAGTGAACTGGATTTGGCCTGTGGGCCCCACTGATCAGACAGGTACCACCAGTAGCAAAACTGTAAACTAGCTGTCCTGACTGATGGGAAAGGATCATCGTGGCCAGAGTGACCCTTAGATCACAGGTGCCAAAGATAGGAAAGATCAAACAGCTGCTAGCACATTATCAGGTTTCATTGCCTGTGATTAAAGAGATTTGGCTTCCACGTTACTGACGAAATAATTTCACTACAAATGTAGACCACTTCCCTTCCCAAAATAAAATCATTCCAGTTGTAAAAATGAGATAAGATCATGTGTTCTTTTAAGACAAATGCATCCTTAACAGATACAATGTTTCCAAGCTTTTGAACCAGGTTATCAATTTTCGACTCCAATAACGTGTAGGGTAGCTTTTGTACATTTATTTGCCTTTCCTTTCACTCGATACCTGGTGATAGAATATAGATTCTAACTCAGAGTTCCGTGGCCGAGTCATCCATTCACGTCACTTGAGGTATTTATTACATTTAGATTTCTTTACTTCTCAAATATTATAAATCAGAAATGATCATGAATCCCTTCTTTTTTTTTTCTCTCTTCTTGGCCGCAACGCACTGCACAGCTTGCGGGATCCAGTTCCCCGACCAGGATTGAGCCCACCCCACGGCAGTCATAGCACCGCATCCTAACCACTAGGCCACCAAAGAAGTCCCATGAATCCTTATTTTTAAAAGCTCCCAGATATGGGGTTCACTAATACGCCTAGAATTTAGAAGCCACTGCCCTTAAAATTTTAAATGGTTATAAGCATTCATTAAAACGACCAATTTAAAGACAATCCAGACATGGTACACGCTAAAAGATCACTCCTATAAGTATACATCGCACTGCAAAACGAGAAGCTGTCCTGGGTTTCAGGTTTATGGTTAATACAGGGGAGGCCTACAGTCTCCAACAGGTGGGCCAGACTCTGTTGCATAAGTAAGGAAACTAGCTCCCCCTGGTGTTCAGTGTCTGTCATGACCGCCTGAGGGTGCTGAACAAGAAAAGTGCCAAGGTCAGGAACTTGCAAAATTTCGTTTTTCACGTACGAAAAACTCTCACGGCCCAATCACAATGACCACAGTGACTATAGATCTCCTAGTGGGGAAATGGGACAGCAAAACTGATACCCCAGAACACTTTATCTATAAAGGCTTTTAAAATATAGCTCACCCAAGGTTATGGGAAAAAAATACAAACTGTTGTGGCCATGAATTTATATTATGTATCTACCTTTCCGGCAACTCAAGAAGAGAACAAGCACACTAACCATCCTAGCAACTTACTCCCCTAGAATTCGACCCAAACTCTACCTTCTCTACACTGGGGACTCTCTTGCTAAGTCCCTACTTCACCGCGGGTCTCCCGACTGTGTGAGGGCAGCAGGGCCACGCTAACCTGTCCTCAGCAGAAGCTGATCCTCTCCCCACATCCTACTGGCTCTGCTTGCTAAATGTATCCCGAACCTGACTGCCTTTGCCAACTCCGCCAGCAGCCCTGATCCGAGTCAATGTCATCTTCGCTCCATCACTGCAATCGTCTTACAGCAAGTTTGCCCACTTCCGCTCTCGCCACACATGTACCCCAGCCCACCCTGGCCTTCGTTTTCCAGACAGAAGCCTTGTAACAATCCTTTTAAAGCATGAGTTGTACACGACCACATGCCCAAGTCTAGTACTTTCTGCCCGGCTCTTACTGCACCGGCTTTATTATTGTTCCTTGGAATCACACGCCTCAGGCCTTGGCATCTGTGGTTCCCTTTGCCTGGTCCCGCTTCCCTGAGATGTGCACATGACATGAGCCTTCAATTTGGTCCCCCCCGCAAAAGTCACCCCCCTGAGGAGGCATGTGCGAATATCCTATCCAAAACAGCACTTGTTTCTACCCCTTTACTCTGAGGTTATACAAGTATTGTTTACTCACTTATTATCATTAAAGCATAGCAGTTTTTGTTCACCGCTATATCCCCAAAGCTTTGAGCAGGGCCTGGCACATTGCAGGTGATGCTCCAAAAAAAATGGATGAGTTAACGAGTGCCTCATTTTTCACTGACATTTTCCAGAGGAAAAAAAAATGGTACCTATTTACGATTACACTCAAGAGTCTGGTGCTTCTACGAATCAGCTCGACGGCCTGAAAGCACGGTGCTCAAAAGCTGCTGGTCCCAGGCTCGTCCTGCATTCCGTACCCCTCCCTCTCCCCTGCTTGAGTGAGTCAGAGCCCCTTAATCAGCTGCTCCTTTAACCCCGTCCTGTCTGAGCGAAGAACAGATGCCCTCAGGCGACCTACACGCACAGGAGAGGCCAAATCCAAAGCTGAACCCCGGGAGCTGTGCGAACAAAGAAGAGAAAGGGAAATCTCTCCCAGCAGCCTCGGGAGCAGCGGATTAAATCTCCACGATCAACCTGATGTGCCTGCATCTGTGGAATACCTGAATAGACAACGAACCATCCCAACATTGAGGCGGTGGACTTTGGGAGCAACGGTAGACTTGGGGTTTGCTTTCTGCATCTAATTTGTTTCTGGATTTATGTTTATCTTAGTTTAGTATTTAGAGCTTATTATCATTGGTAGATTTATTGATTTGGTTACGCTCTTTCTTTTTTTTAATATTTATATATATTTTTTATTTTTCTCTTTTTGTGAGTGTGTATATGTACGCTGCTTTGTGTGATTTTGTCTGTATAGCTTTGCTTTTACCATTTGTCCTAGGGTTCTGTCTGTCCATTTTTTGTTTGTTTTTTTTTTAGTATAGTTTTTAGTGCTTGTTATCATTGGTGGATTTGTTTTTCAGTTTGGTTGCTCTCTTCTTTCTTTTATTACTTTTTAATTTTAATAACTTTATTTTATTTTATTTATTTTTTTCTTTCTTTCTTTCTCCCTTTTCTTCTGAGCCATGTGGCTGACAGGGTCTTAGTGCTCCGGCCCGGTGGCAGCCTGTGCCTCTGAGGCAGGAAAGCAGAGTTCAGGACATTGGTCCACCAGAGACGTCCTGGCGCCATGTAATATCAAACAGCGAAAGCTCTCCCAGAGATCTCCATCTCAACGCTAAGACCCAGCTCCACTCAACGACCAGCAAGCTACAGGGCTGGACGCCCCATGCCAAACAACTAGCAAGATAGGAACACAACCCCACCCATCAGCAGAGAGGCTGCCTAAAATCATAATAAGGTCACAGACACCCCAAAACACACCACCAGATGTGGTCCTGCCCACCAGAAAGACAAGATCCAGCCTCATCCACCAGAACACAGGCACCAGTCCCCTCCACCAGGAAGCCTACACAACCCACTGAACCAACCTTACCCACTGGGGACAGACACCAAAAACAACAGAAACTACGAACCTGCAGCTTGCAAAAAGGAGACCCCAAACACAGTAAGTTAAGAAAAATGAGAAGACAGAAAAACACATAGCAGATGAAGAAGCAAGGTAAAAACCCACCAGACCAAACAAATGAAGAGGAAATAGGCAGTCTACCTGAAGAAGAATTCAGAGTAGTGACAGTAAAGATGATCCAAAATCTTGGAAATAGAATGAAGAAAATACAAGAAATGTTTGACAAGGACCTAGAAGAACTAAGGAGCAAACAAACAATGATGAACAACACAATAAGTGAAATTAAAATTCTCTACAAGGAATCAATAGCAGAATAACTGAGGCAGAAGAACAGATAAGTGACGTGGAAGATAAAATAGTGGAAATAACTACTGCAGAGCAGAATAAAGAAAAAAGAATTGAGGACAATCTGAGACACCTCTGGGACAACATTAAACGCACCAACATTCGCATTATAGGGGTCCCAGAAGGAGAAGAGAGAGAGAAAGGACCCAAGAAAATATGTGAAGAGATTATAGTTGAAAACTTCCCTAACATGGGAAAGGAAATAGCCACCCAAGTCCAGGAAGAGCAGGGAGTCCCATACAGGATAAACCCAAGGAGAAACACGCCGAGACACATAGTAATCAAATTGGCAAAAATTAAAGACAAAGAAAGATTATTGAAAGCAGCAAGGGAAAAACAACAAATAACATAAAAGGGAACTCCCATGAGGTTAACAGCTGATTTCTCAGCAGAAACTCTACAAGCCAGAAGGGAGTGGCATGATATACTTAAAATGATGAAAGGGAAGAACCTACAACCAAGATTACTCTACCGGGCAAGGATCTCATTCAGATCCGATGGAGAAATCAAAAGCTTTACA